ATATTTATTCCAGAACCAAGTTATAAATGTTCATTATATATATATATATATATATATATATATATATTTGTAATGAAATATATATATTTGTAATGAAAATTGTAATAGTGTAGTGAGAGGGTAGTTGTAGGATAAAAACAATTTATCCCTCCCAAGGCCTTGTAGACCAGACTTGTTAAACTGAGCATCCCCTGAGGGCTACATGGCCACTGACGTGTTATCATGAGGGCCCCACACGATTCGCAATTGAGTACAATACATTACAGCTAGTTCGAGTTATTTAATAAAATTTATTGCAGAATATTTTTGTCACTTACATTTTGAAATGCACAATTTGCATACAAATATTTTAGAAGAATTAAATATACAAGAATTTTAGAAGTATATACAATTAATTAAGTAACCTTATAACAAAAATAGAATATTAAACAGCAATATATAATTGCAGATTGCAACTATAAAAATACATTGTACAAAAATTTCAACAGTTCAAAAAAGAACCTTTATTTGCCACTATTCAGTCAGTTTTAGATTTTTTTGTCTTAAGACTTGACAACTCTTTTTGCTGACAATGTTTGGTATGTCTGGCTGAAATGTTTGTACAGTTCCGATTTTGATCAGAGATGACAAATGTTGATCAGTTAGCGTTGTTCTATGAGGAATTTCTGTTGTTTTCTTGAAGGAAAATAACTGTTTACACACATAGGTAGAACCAAACATTACCATAATCTTTGTGACAAAATTTCTGAAGGTTTTAAACTTTTCAGGAATGAATGTATGAAACGAAACCAGGTTTTCCTATTTCAAGACACTTTGCTCTGAGTATAGAATTCGACTGCAGTATCATTTGCAGGCTTCCTTCTGTCTTGGAAACATCAAAGGTGAATGGTTCTGAGAATAACTCAAACTGATGTTCAAAAGATGAGAAATCACTAAATCTTTTCTAAAATTCCTTGACTGTTATACTTGGCAAAGCTAAGTACAGTCTTGGTATTGGCAGTGTTTTTCGGCTCTTTCCACGTAGGAAAATAAACTAAAATTTCATTTGACAACAGTGACTTCTATAAGCTTAGTTTTTTATGAAGCAATTGATATCATCATACAACTGAGTGATAAGTTTGTTTTTACCTTCTATTTTCAACTTAAGATCAGTTAATTGCCCAGTAATATCCACAACAAAAGCCAAATGTTGGAGCCAACTTTCATGTTTTATTTAAGCTGTGTTGTGATCTTTCATCTCTAAAAATATAATTATTTTTCGTCTCAACAACTACAATTTTTTCAGCACTTTGTGACGTGACAGACTGTTCAACACTCTCAAAGACAACCTGGCTTCTTGTAAGTGTCATGCATGGAGACCAGTTCAATCAGTTCTTCATAAATATTAAATTTACTGTCACAGGCCCTGATCAAGATTGCAAGTTGTGCTATTCCAGTGATGTCAACAGTCTTATCAATAGCAATAGAAAAATGTTCAATCTTTGATGATACAAGCTTCAGCTTTGTTTCAAATCATCTGACCTTTTTTTTTCAGTCCGTTCAGCATCAGTGTTCCTGGTTAATGAAATGTCTTTGAATAAGTGTGCCTTTGTGACATACAAATTTATCTGTTTTTACAAGGCATTGGTTTAGGAAATCTCCTTCACTATAGGACTTCCCACTTATGGCTGTCATTCGGTTGAGTTCATAGTTTTCACTAACGGAAGCGACATTCTGTTTCTGAATTTTCGTAAAAAAAGGTCTGTTGCTGTGCCAAGTTAGCCTCTAATTCCTTCAGTCTTGAAACGCGCATTATACCTTCGTACTTATCGTAAGATAGATGGTTTGTTTCATAATGTCATTTCAGTTCGTACTGTTTTGGCGTGACGATAAATTTGTTACAAATTAATCAATGAATCTTTTTATATACCGTTGTGCAAAAAATTCGTAATTCCCTCTTTTCTTGAAACACACTCCCTCTTCGTTCAGTTTCCTTTTTCTCTTAACTGGAGGAGCCGTACTCATTTTAAGGTTGATATAGTGAAAAAAAAAAAAAATTTTCAAAATTGATGACGAGGAGTCTGAAAAATTACAGGTATACATTTAACAACTAACAGTAAAAAGAGATAAAGCAATTTTGATAACGCCTCTAAAACATTTTTTGGCTGACATTTCACCTTTAAAAGCAAAAACCTTTAAAGATTTTTAAAGAACGTTTTGTCTCTAACTGTTAATGAGCTGACATATTTTTTTCATGGTATGATGGCTGATGGCATGTCTACGAGAGAGACTTTTTTTCCAACGCTAGTCACCAAGAATATCGAATATCTACTAAATTTTTTTAAAAAATAGCTTAGTACCATACTAACTTAAGGATTGTCGATAATATTAACATTATTTTGAATAAATTCATGCAGTAAATTGTATTCTTAATTATTAAAGATGCATATTCGTTGTTTAACTCGCTCGAGCAAACAGCGACGCCGGTACGACTCTATTGCAATGTGAGTAAGGCAGAATATATCAAAACCACTTTTGAACAATCTGTGTTGAAGTCGCTCAATAATACATGAAAAGAGTCGAAGACTTCAAATATCTTGCATCTCACATGATAGATTCCCCCAAAAGACTTCAACATCCGCATAGATCTTGCATGTAAACGCGTGTAACAAACTTTACAAGATTTAGCGCTCGAATTTTCCCTATTGATTAAAAGTCTAAACATTTCGAACATTGATTGAATCAGTTTTATTGTATGGATCAGAAACTTGGACATGATCTGCTCGTCTTGAAAGATGACTGGATGGAACATATACAAATCTACTTAGAAAAATCCATAACATCAGTTAGAGATCCCATGTAACGCTTAACACAATTTACAGAGAACTACGACCAATTTCTCTTAAGCTTAAACAAAACAATAACAGTTTGCCAGCCACTGCCACCGAGCGGACAGGGAAATCATCTCATCCTTACTCTTATTTGGAGCTCAAACCTTCCATTCTCCTTAAAAGTCCAAACCATTCGAACATTGATTGAACCAGTCATACCGTATGGATCAGAAACTTGGACATTATCTGCTCGTCTTGAAAGACAACTGGATAGAACATATAAAAATCTACTTAGAAAAATCCAAAACATCACTTGGAGATCCCATGCAACGCTTAACACAATTAACGGAGAACTACGACCAATCTATCTAAAGCTCAAACGAAAGCAATTGCAGTTTTCCGGTCACTGTCACCGTGCGAACAGGGAGGTCATCTCCTTACTTCTTTGCAATACTTGTGGAGGTGTCTAATCGCGAAAGTTAACTTTCCCAGACACCATGGCTCGGGACTCAGTGTTGGTCACTGGGGTTCTGGGGATGGCAATGCAGGACTAAGTGTGGAAATGAATTGTCAATGGAATTCCGGACAACTACAGGGAGGTCTTAGAATTATGATGATGATTTTTATTTGGTATCATATTAAAATAAATCAAAATGTAAAAAACCGTGACTTATTTTCTTGAATACAGTAATTTCTAAATTATAAAAAAACTATAATTTTGGCCGTACTCGTAAAGGGTTGTATCCAGTCCACGTGACATATGTTTGACACGCCTGGCATTGAGACATATGCGAGGCTCGAATGTGAGGATAGTAACAGACTGAGATAGATAGATAGATAGATAGATATGATCAGACTGAGATAGATGGGTAGATAGATATGAACAGACTGAGATAGATAGATACTGAGATAGATAGATAGGATCAGACTGAGATAGATAGATATATAGATAGATAGATAGATAGATAGATAGATATGAACAGACTGAGATAGATAGATACATAGATAGATAGATATGAACAGACTGAGATACATAGATAGATAGATAGATAGATAGATAGATAGATATGAACAGACTGAGATAGATAGATAGATAGATAGATAGATAGATAGATAGATGAAGATTTTCGTAATTCCATTGTAAAATTTATTGCTAGTCAATTTGCTTTAAAAGTTCAGTATTGGTAATTTATATATATATATAAATGTGTACTGGTGATTTTTAATATGAAAATTTTTATTCATTTATAGTGTTTTTTATACTGTGAGGTTTTATGAAATATCAGACGACAATGTGTGCTGTTGGCTACGAAATTTGGGATATCACTCCAGAGAATCATCAACAATATTTTCCCGTTTCACTATTTGCCTATAACTGGGATCCTAACATGTTCTACCACTCCGAATCAGGGTGTGCCTGGGAACAACATCAACTAAGAAGTGGTTCCATGCTCCTCATAACCTCCGGTCTCCCGATCTGCCGGATGTAGTTTATCGTCATACCAAGGATTAGATTAATGATTATAGAAAAGTTAAGAAATTCATTAAAAAAAAAACAAACCGAAAAATGATCAAATTATCCAAAATAATTAAAAGGTTTCATTCTTCTCTGTTTGACCGTCGCTAAACTGGGGCCTTTTTTCGTTAATCCCATGAAATGATATACTTCACAAAGTTTGTATTCTTTATGCAATACCATTAATTCCCAGCGTCTCAGAGCAATCCTGTCAGGCTACACTTTCCATTCCCATTCAATGTCTCCAGCAGCTGTTCGCTGTTTTTCAAGGACCGTAATACAATTGGACTCCTCCTAGTCAACCACGGGTCGTCGATATTCTAAAGACGATTTCTGTGTTATTTGTTTTCTCTGCATATTTTTTATGTGTTTCTTATAATGCTTTCATTTATCAGGGCAGTTCTTTTTTCTTTTCTTTTTTTTTTTTGAAATACACGTTTTCTTGCTTGATGTCTGAAATTTTCTTCGTTTTCTGTGTGTCGTCTGTTTGCGAAGTGAATTCCTTTCCTGCCATTTCATACTCCAAAGAGTCTTTTCATTTTTCAGTACAAATAACATGGAACTGGATTTCAGACTTTCCACAATGCAGTCTTAGGTTTTGTCTTAATCTAATAAAACTTTGATAGGACGTCAAAGCTGGTCTAATTTAAATCACTTCTTTCAGTCACTGGTAAATGTTTGCTATTCATTATTCATTCCTTTCTTCTTTCATTTTGCCCTTCCTTTTTTGTTTCATTCTTTCTTTCTTTCTTTATTTTTCATTCTTTATTTATTTCTCCCTTTCTTCCATTCTTTCTTTCTTTATTTCTTTCTTTCATTTTTCATTTTCTTTCTTTCATATCTTCTTTCTTTCTTTTTTCTTTCTTTCATTTTTTCATTTTCTTCCTTTCATATTTTCTTTCTTCCATTATTTCTCTCTTTCTTTCTTTCGTTCTTTATTTTTCTTTCTTTCTGTCATTTTTTCATTTTCTTCCTTTCATATTTTTTTCTTTTATTCTTTCTCTCTTTCTTTCTCTCGTTTTTTCTTTCTTTCTTTCTTTCATTTTTCTTTCTTTCATTATTTCTCTCTTTCTTTCTCCCGTTCTTTCTTTTTTCTTTCTTTCTCTCGTTCTTTCTTTCTTTCTTTCTTTCATTTTTTTCATTTTCATTCTTTCATATTTTCTTTCTTTCATTCTTTCTCTCTTTCTTTCTTTCGTTCTTTCTTTCTTTTTCTGAAAATTCTTTTTTTTACATTTCATTTCTTAGTTTTCTATCATTCTTTATCTTTAATTCTTGCTTTCTTTCTTTCTTTCATAATATTTTCTTTCTTCTATCTTTCTTTCTTTCATTTTTTCATTCTTTATCTTTCTTTTCCCTTACTTTTATTCTATCTTTTTTTATTTCTTTATACAGACATTTCTTTCTTTTTTACATTTTACTTTTGCATTTCGTTTTTTCTTTGATTCATTTTTCTTTTTTTCATTCCTCTTTTCTTTCACTCGTTTTCCAGTGTTTCTTTTTTATTCTTTATTTATTGCTTTCCCTCATTCTTTCTTTTTTCTTTTCTTTTTTCTTTCTTCATTCTTTCATTGTTTCTTTCTTTCTTTATTCTTTATGCTGACATTTCCCTCTTTTTTACTATTCCCTTTTACATTTCGTTTCTTTCTTTATTTCTTTCTATTTTCTTTCTTTATTTCTATCTTTCTACTGTTATTTGTTTCTTTTTATATTTCTCTTTTACATTTTCTTTCTTTCTTTCCACCTACAATGCTTTCATTTTTACTTTTTTTTTTACATTTCATGTCTTTCTTTCTTTCATTTTCTAAATCTTTTTTATTCTTTCTTTCTGTATTTTTTCATTCTTTCTTTCTTTCTTCATTCCTTCTTTCATTCCTTCTATTGAGATTTCTTTCATTTTTTATATTTCCCTTTTACCTTTCCCTTCTTTATTTCTTTATTTCCTTCTTTCTTTCTTTCTCCCTACAATGCCTTCATTTTTACTTTTTTGACATTTCTTTCTTTCTTTCTTTCTTTCTTTCTTTCTTTTTTTTCATTTTTATTTTTTATTTCTTTCGTTTTTTTTTTTCTTTCATTCATTCTTTTTTTTTCTTTCTTTCCTTCTATCGACATTTCTTTCGTTTTTTACATATCTCTTTTACATTTTCTTTCATTCTTTTGCACTGTCTTTACCTCTATCATCAGAAAACGTTAACCGGAAATGGCGGAATGTGTTAATCTCCTGCCGGAGGAGGATAAAAAGGTTCTATTACATGATTACTAATTATAGATAGATGAGCAGGCTGGGAATAAATAGACAGAGAGAGATAGAGTAACGTTTCTTTGCTTTTATTGTTTTTTTTGGGGGGGGGTACATTTCTCTTTTACATATCCTTCATTATTTTATTTCTTTCCTCTTTTGTTTTATTCTCTCTTTCTTTCCTTTTTTTAATTAACATTTCTTTCTGTTGTTATTCCTTTTATAATATTTCTCTTTTGAATTTTTTTCCTTCCTCCCTTTCTTTCTCTCTGTCCTCCTAGCTTTCTTTCTTCCTTTTGTCATTTCTTAACACAGTTATTTCTGTCTTCCTAAGGACGTTTCTTTCTTTTTTTAATTTCTCTTTTTCATTTTTCATCTTTCTTTCTTTGTTTCTTCCTTTGTTTCTTTTTTTCTTTCTACTATCATTTCTTTTTCTTTCAATGTGTTCTCTATCTATCTATCTATCTATCTATCTATCTATCTATCTATCTCATCTGTTCTATCTATCATATCTCTCTGTTTCATCTATCTCTATCTATGTTCTATCTATCTATCTATCTATCTATCTATCTATCTATCTATCTATCTTCTCAGTCTGTTCATATCTATCTCACTCTGTTCTATCTATCTATCTGTTCATATCTATCTATCTATCTATCTATCTATCTATCTATCTCAGTCTGTTCATATCTATCTATCTGTCTATCTATCTATCTATCTATCTATCTATCTATCTATCTATCATTATATATTCGAGGTTTGATGAAAAAGTATTGAGATTGTTCCTATGGTAACGAAACTAAATTATGCAGATTGAAGCCACTTGTCACTAATTGACACTGAACTCTGTCTTGCATGCACACTGATACAAAACGTTCTCGCTCACTTCTGTTGTTTGTAGCAGTAGTTGGAAGGGAAGTATGTAGAGTGTAGTCGTCTCACCCCACCACAGGTTCCATCAGCGATCATGGTTATGCAACAGTTTTGGGGCAAAAGAACAACATTCCCCAGGACTTACGACCACCTTATTCGCCAGTCTCGCCGCTTGTTATGTTACCTCGCTTTCCAAAAATCAAATCTCACTCGAGAGAAACAGCATTTCAGAGACAACGAGGAAAGCGAATGGAATGCAACGAAGCAGATGCTCGCTATCCCAAGGAGGGTGCCCAGGAAACGATTCCATCAATGGAAACAACGCTGTATAAAGTGTGTGCATTCAGATAATTTCTACCTTGACACTTATCGTCGGTGGATCAACATCACCTTAAAAAGGATTTTAATTCGACAAGGCGTTAAAGACACACACACACACACACACACACACACACACACACACACACACACATATATATATATATATATATATATATATATATATATATATATATATATATAGACACGCTAAGAGTTTACTTTACATTGAGTGTCTGTGTCCTGCTTAAACGCAATTTATTCATGTTTCAATAGCAAATCAGTCAGTGGTTAACTGGGGCAGGAAATGGCTTACAAATTTTCATACTTCCAAAACAAAACAGCCGTCATTTAACAACCATGCAGAAAGTGTTCTGCCCGCCAGCAGCATGGCAGACGCTAGACTACTGGAGAGCAAAATACTACGCCTTTTCGGCTTCACGTTTTCATCTCACTTGACATGGAGCGACTACATTGAATCAACAGCTGCATATATTGCAAGGAAAGTTGGGTCACTGTGTCGTGCCAGTCTATCTTTCCAATTACAAATTTATCATTCGCCCGTGCATTGAATACTGTTGCCATATCTGGTCTGGCGTTCCTGTTATTCATCTCGAGGTTCTTGCCAAAATCAAAACAAGGATCTTGTTGTGACCTTGTTAGGGCCAGAAATAAAGACACAAAGAGAGGATTTGAGTTAAACAAATATATTAAAAGAAACAGTAATACAAACATATAAAAACGAGAGTGTTGCAGCGAGAATGTTCGGTCTGACTGTCAGAATCGACTGCCGGAAACTTCAAAAAGGCAGTACCTGCTCCTATTTATAGCTGAGAGAGTCCATACCTGCGTGGGTAAATTAAGATAACAGATCTGTAATGTAATCGAACCTGACTTGGTTTCTAGACTTTAGTCACTTTCTCACCGATGTGGCGTGGTGTGGCTTCGCTCAGTCTTTTCTACAGATATTTTGAAGGCAACTACTCTGACGAACTTTTGACCCTAGTACCCCGACTACATGTATTTTAACGTGCTGCTAGATTGACATTTAGGTACCACCTGCTTACTGTTGAAATAGTTAAATGCAAGCATCACTTCAGGTTCTTTTCTCGCACATACCACGTGTGGAAATCTCTCTCGTTTACTTGCCCCCCTGACAACGAAAATCTTAAAAATTTATATTCAATCTCAATCGTCACTTTTTATCTAATTGAATCCCGTTCATCTTTTGTCCTTTCCTCAATCCTCCCTGTACTCAGACTTTTCTCTCACTTTCACACCCTGTAACCCCCTGCGTACTAGTAACATTACTGCCTTGCTTGGGGTGAAATGATTAAAAATATATATTTATTTGTACTTGTTGCTAATCGAGAACTGAGCGCTTAAATCAAGTTTGGCTGCCATGGATGAAAGTTCATCAGAACAATTACCATGATAGGCTCAGGGTAGCAACATTACAGCAGTGGGAAAGTGGCTGAAGCTGAGTTGCTCAGTTGGGACCAATAACATTGCCGATTCTTCTTTGAGCACCAGACCATAAAGGTGGAGTAATATTTGAAGCATGTCTGTAGATATTTAAGCAAATTTTTTTTGTTACATTAACCAGTATTATACAAAATGTCAGCTTTAAAATAAGTTTATTAATTCATTAGAATTTACTTTGTTTTATGACGTACGGTGGCTGTTAATGATTAAGTATAACTCAAGACTTCTATGTTAAAATAAAGCAGTATTTAATTACAACTGCAAATAAATACTTTAACAAGAACAAAGAAGTAAAAGTCAAAGATAATTAACCATTTCAGTGAATACCTTGTTTAGTAGCGCGGCTCGGCTTAACGTCCGGTAAATTTTAAATCAAAACCCAAATCATCGACGTACAGTAATTCACACTAATTCGACTGGATAGTTCCTCTCAATAGTCATTGCAGTCAGTAGCCTGACACCGCTATTTATATACCTGACAGAAAACATATATTCATAAGTCCAGAGTGTCACGCTCGAACCTCGATGTCGGTAGTTACTCATTTTCTTTATATTTAGGGTACGAATCTGAGTAGATATGAACTTCCTGCGCTTTCCTTAAAAAGAAAAAAGGGCCTTACGGTGATGTTTTTCATGACCGATCAAATTCTGGTTTTCCCTACATAGCAGCACGGAGGTTCGAGCTCTTCTGGTGAACACATTCTCGTTAATATGTGTTTTAGCAAACCCATGGACGATAATGTGTATGTCCTCATTCACATAAATACAGTAGTAAATACTGTATGTTGGTCTGCAGTTGGAGATTCATTGTGGAATCCACATGAATCATTTCTAGCAGTTGACTACTTATATGTGTTGTTCTTGTTTTAATTATTATCGTTCATTACCAACCTTCGTTTGATTATTCTATTCAGTAATCGTCACTAAGTTACAACATTTTGGCGACAAGGATTAGCAAAAATTACAACAATATGTTTTCTTGAATTCGCATAGACCTTATACACACTGTTTAGAATAAATACGGAACGTATATTTCAAATACGAGTGTCCACTTTAATAACGTTTGAAGTAATAAAAATGTCAGATAAAATATGAATCTGTTAATTCTTTAGATAAGAAATATGTGTGCGTGTGTGTTAGAGCGAGGTATTTACCCTTAAAGCTGACACGGACCTTAAGATGTGATGGAAATGTCGGAAGCCACAGATAAAGGAGAAATCTAAGAGGTTAAACTCCACCAACTACGACGACAACATAATGGAAGTAATTTTCTAACAGAAAGAAATACGTTGATTTGTCAGAATCGTAAATGTCAAATCTAAATTTGGTTTCGGAATCTGTTAAATAAGCACTGTCAATTTGTGACTGGCAATATTTTTGAAATCTCTTGCCAAATCTGTTGGATTTCCTGTTTGATACAGGTACACAACTACGGCAATCTTTCATATCTTCCCTCTCACCGTCTCTTATTATTTTAGCTTAGTCTGACACAAGGCCTAGGTAATAGTGTGTAATGATGTTGAGATATTGCTCTCTTTCCCACTCCCTTGCTCTTGAATTCCTTTGCTCTGAACGCCTGCCGTCTTGGGTAAGACGATAAACTACATCCGCGTCCTGGGTAAGACGATAAACTACATCCGCGCCCTGGGTAAGACGATAAACTACATCCGCGTCCTGGGTAAGACGATAAACTACATCCGCGCCCTGGGTAAGAAAATAAACTACATCCGCGTCCTGGGTGAGACGATGGGCTGCGTCCGGCAGCGGGGCCTCTGATCGGGAGGTTTTGAGGGGCGTGGAACCACCTCTTCATTGTTGCTGTTCCCGGGTGGTCCACCCTGGCTCGGAGTGGTGGCGCCTGTTAGGGTTCCAGATGTAGGTACGTGCTAGACTGAGGTTTAAACACGATGAAAGTGTAAAAATAGGTTTTAATACCATAAATACTTCGTGAAACATTATTACCAGCAATTCATTATTACCAGCAATTCATTATTACCAGCAATACATTTTTGAAAAAAAATATCAACAATAGATTTTTGAAAAAAAATTACCAGCAATAAAAAAATCTTTTCAGCATTAAATAACCCATTCAGCATTATATGCCATAAACCAAACCAAACCAAACAAAACCAGCAATACATTTTTGAAAAAAAATGAAAAAAATATTACTTGCTCTACACTTTTGAAAAAATATTACCAGCAATAGATTTTTGAAGAAACAAATATTACTAAATATAATAATTGTTGACATTAAATAATCCATTGAGCTTTATATTCCGTAAATCAAACCAAACCTAATCAGCTATACATTTTTGAAAAAAAAAAAAATTAAAAGATATTACCTGCCATACATTTTTGAATAAAATATTATCAACAATAGATTTCCGAAGAAACAAATATTACCAGAAATAAAAACTGTCGGCATTAAATAACTCATTGATGTTGATATGCTGTAAACCAAACCAAACCAAACCAAACCAAACCATTTGAACGCTAGTTTGTATTCAGGTTTAGTCCAGATTTCTAATCGAATGAATATAGACGATCAATAACTAAAAAGACTGGGGATTTGGTTTGCTGATACCATAAACCAAGAAAGTACTAGAGTCCATCTTTACAAGATGCAGAACCTTGGATATGGCCACTCTTTTCCAACTTTGGCAGAATTCAAAGCGAAAGTCGTTTACGTAGCCATGTGGTAAGGGATGCATAATTCTCCACCTCACATCTTATTTCCCACGGGCCCAACATCTCGAATCTATGGCGACTCCTGTGACAAATGTTCAGACGAGCGTCGGCGTTTAGTGTCACCATCTTGGACCTCGGCACCCGATCCGCCTTCTATATCTACATGTTTGAATAACACTCAATTTCTCCGTCTTCCCTTGGTAAAAAGGAAGTTTTACGTAGATAAAGATAAGTTTTACGTCTTCCTAAGTATCATTGCTTTGTGGAAGAGACTCCCGCGTGGATGCTTCCGCGAACACGACAATCCTAACCTCTACAAGTCTAGGACCAATGGTTTTCTCTTTACCATATCTTCATAATGTTCATTTTCTACAACCTCATATTACATTGATATCGGACACCTGTGGAATTCT